ACTCATGAATATGTATTCTGTCATAGTAAACTTTCCTCTGGAGAACTACTTAAGGTTGAGATTGTGTTATAGACAAAGCTATGTGCAATTATCTAAATATAATAAAATAATCTTAATAATAAAAATTATAGACACTTTAGTATACCCCCGCAACGAAGTGAGGGGTGAGTGGGTGGGGAGTATACTGGAATCAGCTTGTCGATCCGTCTATCTGTCAACTCATGCTAAAGTAGTGAACCAATTTCAACACAAGTTTCCAGATACGATAATGGCAACTAACACCTGAAAAGTTATGCATCAGGGTATTATTTTTTCATTCTGACCTTTTTTTTTACAACGTTATGGCCCTGTGTTGAAAAATCCTTGTCCGGACATGTCCTCCAAAACTAAGGGGTCAATTTCAACGAAAGTTTTCCAATATGGTAACTGCCCCCTGTCATTGTGCATCCAAGTAGTATGTTTTCATGTCGACCTTTTAAAAAGGAGTTATGGCGCTTTCTTGAAAAAAAACTTTGTCTGCCTCATAAACTTTTGGGCCAATTTCAATGAAAATTTGAAGATATGTCAATTATCCCCTGATGTCGTGCATCAAATTAGCATTTTTTTCGTTTCAACCCTTTTTAAGGAGTTATGGCTTTCTGTAAAAATCTTTGTCTTCACAACTCTTCTTTAACTACTAGAACGATTTCAGCAAAACTAGGTAATCTAGGCTAACAAGATTTGGAATGAAAGTATGGTTTGGCAATGGGAGGGAGTGCAAGAAGTATGTCAGTGACATATATACATAAAAAAATTACTGGTGGGAGACCATGGATTAAGCTTAAGCTTACAGTTCTGGTTTATATAGGAGCGGTGGTATTAGTTAATCTTTGGCTTACAGTTCTAGTTAGTATTTGTTTTGCCTTTTGCCCTTTCATTTAACAAAATATGAAGGGGTATTACACTATTTTAAATCGTTAACTCCAAACAAATAAAGCAAGGAAAGATATCCTTGTCTGACTCCCCATACAATTCTTTTTATTTCAGCACATTTGATTTTTGTGACCTTGAACGAAGGTCAAGGTTATTAACGTTTGCAACACTTGAACTCATTTACATGAACAACCTTCTTGCCAAATATCAAGACCGTAGGACCTTTAGTCATGAGGAAACACAAGTTAAAGGAAATGTGGAAAGAAAGCTGTTTTTCTTTTTTTGAACCAAAAGTGTTATATGACAAATTTACCGGTTGTCATTTTTTTTTGAAATTCCTGATGTTGAAAGATATTATTGGTAGCCAACTCTTCAGCAAGTACGAATAATAGACTAGTTTTAAAAGTATATAAATTAACGTGTCAAAAATGGAAATTTTCTCATTAGAAATGAAATTTCACATACTTTTCTGCTTAAATCTTAAATAAAAATAATTCTGCTTAAATCTTAAATAAAAAGAACAATCCTTTATTGAAATAGTGTAATATTCGGTATCAAAATAACAGTTTAAATACGTTGCACATGATGATGATGATATAATTTTATAGTAATTGTGTCATTTAAATGCTCTGTGAGGAATTGTATTACTGCACCTTTAACACCTACACAGGTGTAAGTCAATGAGGTCCCATTTATCATCGAATGAACTCTGAAATTTACTGTTCCTAATTTAAGCTTCCTATACCTATACCTTTTTGGATTTATCTTGTTTTGAAATTTCAAGCGGTGGCCGACGCTTATGTTAAATCTCCATAGGCGTTGACCCTACCTTTCTACTTTTACAGTATTCGTGTTGAAAAAGCATATTTTACCTGATATCAAACTAAAGTATTTCAACTAGGATCATATGTATCAATTAGTGTATTTCAAACGTTCTCTTACCATAACAGTGATTGGTACAAATGTTCCTCTCGAGGTACCGCTGTAGTTATACAGAAAGCATTGTACACAATAACAATTAATTTCGCATATTTTACCTGATATCAAACCAAACTATTTCAACTAGGATCATATGTATCAATTAGTGTATTTCGAACGTTCTCTTACCATAACAGTGTTTGGTACAAATGTTCCTTTCGAGATACCGATGCAGTCATAAAGAAAGCATAGTACACAATTACAAATAATTTCTGCTTCTAACTACCTTTCATTCCCTAACGCCTTGCTTGGCAACTCCTCATTTTTGGCTTTTTATGTTGAACGTTTGCCCATGAGAGGAAGGCAATTGGTTCTGTCCCAAGGCCGGGACATACCAAAGACCTTATAGTCCCTGCTTAACGTTCAGTATTTTCAATATATAAATTCTAGGCTATTTGTATTGGAAAGAAAACCCATGAAACAATATAATCTTTTAGCATTGATTGGGTAGAGATTTTATGTCAAGACTGTGTCAAGCTTTTAGGTGTAGCTATTGATTTCCTTCTTAACTTTGATGTACATATCTCTCGTTTATGTAGGAATGCATTCAAGCAATAAGCAGTTTTAAAAAGATTGGGTAGTCATCTTACAAAGAAAGGAAAGATTCCTATTTTTAAGTCTTTTATCCTATCTAATTTTAATTACTGTCCTTTGGCTTGGCACTTTTGTAACCTGACAAACACGAGAAAGATGGAGAAGATCCAAGAGAGGGCTCTATGTTTTATTGAAAATTACTACACGTCATCAGTTTTAGAAATTTTGAAAAGAAACAAGCTTGATTTTTTACATATTGCTCGTTTATAAAATATGGCCATAGAAACTTTCAAGATTATAAATGGCACTTCGCTATCATTTTTACATGATCCTATTGAACAAAGAAATGTTTTATATAATTTTAGAAGAGAGGACATTGAAGATTCCAAGGGTGAATACCACAATGTATGGCAAGAGATCGTTTAGATTTGAGGCGGCCCGGTTGTGGAACAGTCTGCCAATCGAGTACAGAAAGATAGAGGACTACCAGACTTTTCGTCCGCACCTTGGATGGCCAACTATGCTCTTGTACAATTTGCAGAAACACATAAGTGATATTCACCTCAGTAATTTATCTTTCATGATAATATTTCTACTGTATATGTGATATGCTATGTAATGGGTAAATTTGTGTCTCTCTTCCTTTTAAGTATTCTGTGAGTTTGTTGTTAAATTACTTAATATGTGTATGCCTATGTTTGTCGCAAGAATAACAGTGCAAATGTTATTTTGTTTGTAATATGCGACGGTAAATAAAATTTCTTGAATCTTGACCAACATACGCTGCCTCCAGCACACATACAACACACATTGAGGGACGTCCATAAATGACCTTAGCTGTTGATAGGACGTTAAACCATATTCAACCAACCATCCTCAACTTGCAAGCATAATCATATCACCACATCAGAGGCGGCGGCCTGCAATTTGGAACCGAAATAAAGTTTGTGATGTACACAGCAAAGTTTTCCAAACATTTAATAACGTTAAATGTTTAATGTTAATATAACATTAAGCGCAGCAGTAGTGTGAATTAGTCAAGTCTAAGGCGGCCTATGAGCGACAATTTGCATTCAATATTCACACCAACAGAGCGAGCTGCTCCTATATTATCTTTTTCACTAATGTTCAACAAAATAGAACGAAATCCTAGTCCGATTAGTCTCTTACCAGGAAGCCAGTCATCTTTGATATTAAAAAAAAAAAAAAGACTATTACAAATCACGAAGAAGGGAAACTCCCAAGTTTGATGGGCAACTTTATGATAAGCAGTAAGATAAAACCTGCATGCCCCCTCCACCTCGATGTGCATACCGACTAACTGTCGTTGCTAAGCTCACGAACTGAGCCAATATTCTATTATGTTGCTGTCTGGTTTAATTTCATACACTCTTCATCAGAAGCACGGCTTGTCATTATAAATTACAAGGAGTCCGGGTTTTCTGCGACAGTAACGTGAAATTTTCAAAATTAACCATGCGGAAGTTCCTCCAAGATTGTTTCTACGGGACTATCACGGAAGTTAGCAATACTGCCAACTCATCACATTTGAACATGATATAATTTTCGTCAAAATTCGTTTTTTCAGCTAGGCATATAGTAATAAAAAAACCAGTATACAAACTAAGGTGTTGCAAGGGTCAAAACTCTGTAACCAAGATAAATGCCTATCCATTGCACATTTAAATGAAAAGTAGTGATTGGTTGTACGCTAACATGTAGTGGGAAAGTAAGAATATTTATTGTGATTATTGTATTAGGAAAATCCGTAAAAGCAGTATTGTCTCTGCTTCGTTAAGGGATACAGTAATTGGTTTGATGCTTGTGTACTGACACTGTAAACCGAGTCCTTGATCCGAGCTGATAAACCAATAGAACAGGTAAATACATGTGTTTCCGCCCACTGCCATGCATGTAAGAAAAAATCTGCCTCTGTTATTATTTTTATTAAGTATGGAAAGACTAATGACACTTTACCGCTTTGAACATGCCCGTATCCATACCTCGTCATACTCCCGTAGGGTATACCTTAAAAGTACTGTCACGCGCTTGATGTGGACAGGGAATTATCTCCCACCACTACCCACAGAAAGTCAAGCCAAGGTGTAACTAATGTTCAATTTCTTAACAGTGTAACAAAGGCATTTCAGTGCGTTTCTCACCAAATTACATCACTTCAGGTTTGGTGGAAGAATTGGCATGCTGTGTCCCTATAGCGACTAATGCGGGGACCGCTGAAGAATCGTAGCTTTTATTCTGTCTTTTGCTTTGGGTCATTAAATAAACCATACTTGATATGCACACCATGCAATACTTTTCTGTCTTTCTGTGATATTCTTTCTGTTGTGTCCCACTAGGCACCCGTATACATATGACCTTAGCTGTGAGGAGAATGTTAAACCCCACACAAACCCTATATATTATCGTGAACTGGGGATGAGTTGATCCCTACATTTGTGTGTGATCAATTAATGCTAGTGGTGTCTTAATACGTTGTGTTTGTTTGTTAATAATTCTTCCCTTTCACACACATTCTTAATTCTTTTGAATAAATAACAACGCAACTTAAAGTGTATTTTAACGTTTAATCGAGACATGTGCACAATATAAACTCTTAGAATGTGATCACAAATATAACATTTCCATCATTCCTTCAATAGATACTGTACAAAGCAATATTTCATGTTATTAACATGTTGACCAATAGCTAACACTTATAGTTTAAACGGACTGATTGGACTGATAATTCCTCGAAACATCATTATAACGTAGTAGTAACGTCCACAGGCAGGCAATCCACGTACACATTTGCTTTCATTCATCGGCATCACACAATTCAACAATCATCGTCTCACAAAGCTGCCTTATAGATTAATCAACTGATTATGTTATCTGTCAACATAGCACCGACACATCTTGTAATCACAACAGGTCGTGTATTACAATATCACGACAGTCTACCGTCACTGTGTCACCTCCAGGTGATAAGGTTAAATATCCATATGCTGAGCAAAAACTTATTTTTATTTCAGATAACTGTTTATTGGTAATTAAATAATAAATGATGTATGAATTATATTTCTTGTAATTTTTTTCGGAAAGCAGTACATTATGAAATGTATGTTGAACTGTTTTTTTATATGTACGTCTTTCCCGTGAAAAGAAGTGCACAGGTCGGAATGTAATACCACAAGGAACGAGTACTCTCCAACTGTTGTAATAATGACTCAAGTGTTAATGAAGATATAACAGCAATACGGAACTTAATTCTACACAGTAATCTGTCTTAATAACAATATTCAATATAACATAATCTCATAAAATCAGGGAAAATAACGATAATTACTAGACAAGAATAAGTTAATGAAATTAACTGCAAATGATTTGGATGGAAAACGTCTGGGAAACCTCAGGCCAGGCCTTGTTCATCTCGCAGGTTAAAAAAGAATTTCTTACTTCCACCTATGTATATGAATACAGAACCGATTTCTAAAAAACCTTGAAACTGTATTTGACAAATAAAAACTGTGTTACACATGCCTGTTGGTTCCAGTATTGCTATTAGTTTATGCAGTTTTCGCTCACAGGATCTGTTACAAGTTTATTTTGAATTTGGGCCAATATTTCTGATGCTATGCTGATTTACTGGCAGAGTTCTCTTGGGCTCGTTTACTAAAGTTTACGATGTTGTCTATTGCCTTCATGAGTCCATCTCCCGTCACAGCGCATGTGCATTGTATGGTACATAGCCTACCAGTGACGTCATACAGTCCGAGTCCATCAAGCAATGCTCTTTCCGTTAACACATCTGTAAAATAAGCATAAGTTAGAGTTTATTTAGGTGGCTTCATAAATACTGATAGATACCTACTGACACACTATCAAACAGTAAGTATTATGTTAAATAAAAAACAATTATTTCCCATACAAGGGAGGGAAGCACATCCATTGTCCAATTATCGCAACGTTTGACACATCGTACTGTTAACTTGTTCAGTATTAAAATGTTCTAATAGTGTATTCTGTGAACCTTTTCCTCGACCCATCATCACATAAGTTGACGTTTTATTATGAAGGTATCTACATAAAAAGCTATATAATTTAAAAAAAAAGAATAAAGCTGTACCAATATTGTGGGTGTTACGTCATCACTTGCTGTGTAATAGAAATACGATAGAAATGTACTGCCCACTTACACCGAAAACACCATATTCATTTTATATGGTTATAACTTTGCAACATATGGCATTTTTTAAGACGACTTATCTTGTAAAATAATAGATAAAACAAAAGAAAACAACGAGTGCGTTTTTGTTTTATTGTAACATCCAGTTAACTAGGTTAATATGATAGCATTACATATGCACTCTATTCGTACAGAGATTGTTTAGGTTCTACTCCCTGACACATAACCTATAGCGGCCTTGTCATCCGGGTTCTAAGGAACATACTAAATGGTGGAGTCTTCCTGAGACGGCAAGGAACAACGTTTACTTCTCTATTCTTAATATAGAGACAGTAACAAAAAGCCCTGTATCGGGATTAGTAACATCATTAGTTTATATTAAATCGCAACTAGACAATACACACCGGCTAATGGCTCGCGCTGTTTATGGCCGGTCCCGTCTGAAACCCTATTACGGTTTATGCCTTTTTCTATCAGTAGCTGAAGTTTTTCATTGACACAGATCCAGTGTGGCTAATAAACAGTCGGAATACTCTAAATACAAGAGGCGTAGAATTGATGATTTGTCTCCCTGTTTTGTGTACTGACAATTAAATGGAACTTTTCTTATCTGTGTTTTTGTACAGTTGCTTGTTTGTAATTCATTCTAGGCTTGAATGGAACTTTTCACACATTACCAGAGATAGAAATGGCGAAAATCATTCCATGTCTGATAAAAAATAAACAGTAGGATACCCTGTCCAGTAACGCCTGTTTGAGTATACTTATAAATATTTCGGGGCAAAATGTTGGTTTGGTTGAAGTGACAAGTTTGATAATCAATATTAATATAAACAAAGCTTTGTTTTCAGCTCTACATCAAACTGATATTTTATAAAACTTCATCGATTTTTGTGTTGTTCGTTATTAATCAATTCAGAGTGATCGTACGACTAACATTTTGGTTAAGCTTAAATTAGATTCTTTTTCGCCGATGTCTGTCCGTCTATCAGGAGAACGAAGGACGCCCATCTGTAATCAATCACGTTCTATTCTTCAAGATTTTCTTCTTTGTTTTCCTTATGTAAAGGTCAGCAAGTCAAGGAAGCCAGTCGTGGACTTGGACCGTTTATGACCGTTTGTATTTATGAAACTGACGTGGTTCGTGGAAAGTCAGATACTGGTAATTGTAATTTGGTTGGAAATTCGCTAGGGACTGACACGGTAAATGAAAGATATTTTTTAGACTGCCATTCTGCCATTCTGTTGACCGCTTCAGTTTTAAAAACTGCGTTGCTTTACTCAAGAAGTGAGATGGGGTGCGGTATGACACGAGTATTTAATGACAACATTGCGTCTATAAAATTGTCACTACATTTTATGTTACAAAGAAGTATCAAAATCTTACCATTTAACGACTAAGCTTACATGATGAGATCTGGCAGAGAACTGGCACGATACTGCCCAACGTTCGATAGTTCTTTACGATATGATCTAGTAAAGTTGCGTGGTAATCTGGACCCTTTCGCGTATTCGGTTCAATCGGTTTGTCTATTTATAAATGTAACATTTTCGGGTATGAATCCTGGATGACTTGCAACTGTTTATATAGGCCTTGCAGAACATAAACGAACACCCCTGGTCCAACCGGTTCAACCGTTTGGATCGCGATAAACGAATGCGGACCTGATGTTCCTGTTGGTATCGATGAGACACGGAGCCACCACCCAAAGTACACCTTAAAACGACAGAGCTGCCTACCTAGTGCTGACCATAGCTAGTGTACGACCAGGGACATCTGCTCATTCACATGTTGCGCCAAACCATGAGATCAAAAAAGCTCAGAAAAAACTGAAGAGCATCAACATTGGAGGAATCAACAACACGCCAGGACAGATCGCGTATTGTAATGACCATCTTCGATATAATGGTGACCCAAGTTGAAAGACGACAACTTGTAAAAAAAATAGCAATGTTTGTTTCAGAAGCTATTCTACTTAAACGGCGAAAGGATGGTTATAAACTGTATTATGTACCAGCAGCTTTAATAAAACATGACATGCTACATGCGCGAAAACCATTGTCTTCATAGTTACGACTTGTTTTGATTAGAAGAGATACACCAGCATCACGACTACCATACCGATGATGACGCCATGTCCTTGTTGTACAGCTGGAGTAACAATGTAGCCATCGGTGATTGCACAAACAGACTGAATTAAGATTCAGTCATAGCTCATATCTAAGTCCACGATACGTAGTGAACTATTGTACCGAGCGACGGCTTAGGATAATAATATGCAACATAAAAGTCGTAATCGGATTTATCGTCACTAACTTTGTTGTGTAGGAGCGTGGCCATGTTCCTGCATCTTGGCTGTACATGAGTTGTGATGAGGGGGACCTCCACTAGAGCAGACTATTCCTGTACGTATTGGTGGTGGACAAAATGTAGTCCGCTCTCATACCGTGTTCCTTAGCAACATTGATTTTATTGTACACAATACCCTTTCCGCACGGTATTTTTTTCCTTGCTAATTCTCTGCCCTTCAGTGCTGCAATGTTAAATGCGCGTTAGAACTTTACTTATGGACAGATAAAGCATGTAGGTGCCCGGGAAACACACCAGCTTTGAACTAACGGAAACACCTACCAATGTACAGCACTGTGGTATTTAACACCACACATAGTTTTAGAAATCTAATTGTAAAACTACATGTATTTCAAATATGGCAAAACATACAACCACAGTAGCGCAATACAGACCGACGGAATCACAACATAATTATATCGGGCACAGTATAGCTAATTACTTAATACCTTCAATATGTGTGTATTTTTAATAAAAACAAGTAACACAGGATTTAAATGTCCAATAGGTTTTTCAACAATAATCATGACAATTTCCTGAAAAAGACTGACATGTGTACAAATCTATGTAGGAAAGGGAAACCTGTCATGATCTTTACTGGAGCTCGCCCAACTAAGTTTTAACCACAACAACCTTAATAATTAGAGGAAATAGCAGAGCACATGAAGTTCACATCCCCGGAGGGGCCACAGAAGTTCGTTCTCACGCTATGAAACCCCTATCGTAAAGACAACACCACATCCGTAATACATTGCCGCTATCAAGACATTTCATTTTTTTTCCATTTGACATTTTGCTGTTACATTTCAAGCGCATGGACTATGTGTAACCATGAATTACTGTGAGAACGATACCACAGTTTAATCGACGTTTATACTTGGTAGTGTAGTGTCCTTACTTTCAATTCAGATGCGGGTAACGATCATACTTAATTGGTGTATAGAAATTCAGACCAATTACCCATTTATTTAATTGTTTTAGTAGCGTACAGTACTGTCAGGGAATAACATTACATATCAAGTAGCCCATCTGTTTCTGTGTTTCAAAAATATCTTATACCATATTATCTCTATATGTTATAGCAGAAAAATGTTAACCACAATTAAATTTTGGAAATTGAAATTTGAAAAAGATATTGAACATAGCTTAAAAGCAAGCTCAAGTTAAAGAAATTAACATTCATAGTTTTTTAAAGAGAGAAGTTTCTATTACAAATTAAATAGCAATATTAGTTTATAACTACCTGATCAAAACGGGGTATTTTATGGATGAAAAAACACTTTCTCGTACTAAAGACAATAAAGCTTCAAAATTGGCCAGTAGGCCTGTTTTTGAGCCAATTTAAAAGGTCAAAGAGAAGGATACATGTTCAGCAAGTCATTTTTCTGTAAGATATTTACGCACATAACAGAATCGAAAATTAAATAGGTTTTTAGTTGAATGTGCACTTAAAAAGATCTCCTAACCAGTCGAGATGACCAACTTTTATTTTAAAGCTACATCGGTCATGTATGAGAATTTATTAAGAATAGCGTATTTTAATCAGACATTTACCAATATTGCTATTGATTTTAGCTTAGTGTATTTTCAATCTTTAACAAGAGGCCTATGGGCCTTAACGGTCACCTGATATATTTATACAGAGAGTTGATTTTGTTTTTAACATGAACAGACATATTATTCAAGGTGACAAAAAAAACAATAAAACCACCCTATTCACTATCTAGCATACAGATTTAAGACTGAAAAGTATTTAAAACAAGCACCTCAGATTCTAAACAAGGAAAATGAATAAAGTTTAGCACACTGACTCCTTTGGGTCCCACCCTATAGCCCTTGGGGGTAGGACTGGCTCAAAATTTTCAAAGTATCAAACTGTCAACTCAGGGTTATAATTCAAATCAAGTTATAAACATGTAATATTCAAAGTATCATTTGCCATTAAAAACCATAATAAATGTTCCCCCCCCCCTTCTTCACCAGGGGGTAAACGTGAGACCCTAGGGTCATATACCTTAAGACCCTTCCATCTATGAAGAGTGTTTGATTCTACCATATCTGGGTCTTGAGAAGAAGATTTTTGAAATTTCAGTCAATTCGACCCTTTTTGGCCCCACCCATCAACCCCAGGAGGTCAGTCAGGGCTCATATGTGCATACCATCAAACTGCTATCCAATACTGATAATGTTAACCTAAATTGAATTACTTTTAATGGAAATTAAACAAATGTTGGTCCAAAATGTGATTTCCCTATATAAACTATAGTAAAGT